GGTAGTGGTGGACGGTGACGGTGGACGGTTGTGGTGGTGAAGAGAAGTAGAAAAAAAGGAGAAGATGTTAGAAGATGTTAGAAGACATTGGTTAATGTCTTCTCCAAGAAGATGCCAGGAAGATCTTTTTGAGTGAAATGTCTTCCAAAAAACAAACAATCTGCAGAGCCCATCATCTGCGCGCGTTTGCGCGGCGCAGACAAAAGACGCCAGAAGGTCTTCCGGCAGAAAAACAAACACCCCCTAAATCATTTATGTGGGCAACCTTGAATTTATACCCATCAATATCCAACATAAGTTTTTTTGACTTCGTTTTCAAAGTAAATCTAGAACATTAAAAATTAATTCAAATATTATGGCTAATCTTAACTACTATCGACTAGAGTGGTGATGGATGGGGCCTAGACATCTAAACAGAAGTTACCACATGTTAGGCACAACATAAGAAAATTTAATTTGCAAGAAAGGCGAATATCCTCATGATTGGTGTAACATGGCCATGACCTAACCAAATTTGTAAAGCGCTTAGTCCTTACGCATTTGTCGGGTCTACAACATGTTCATTAGGAACATCACACGCGGGATCGTTGTTGGCCTTGACATAGGAAACATTGATATTGCTCATGGCATCATGGCGGATGAGGCCATGGCCCGATCCATCCCCAATGGTGAGGCATTGCCTGGTCATCCAGTGGTTGGTGTGGCTCTAATTTGGGTACCCTGACCCTTGTTAGTAGCTGCAAATTCAGTGGTAGTGTTGTTTTGGTGACCAGATATAACTATGATGGATACCCTAGACTGTGGGTATCCAGCCCAAAAAAAGAATAAGCGACCCAACAAGACTCATCTAATCGCATGAATCGGACGCGCTCGGCCAAAGACGCCCTACTCGGCTCGGCAGGACTTAAAGGAAATCAAGCCCTCAAAGTGGCAACTGTATTCAAACATGTGTCTCTACTCAGCCCGGATCCATGCACTCGGACTCAGGGTCAGACTCAGCCACATCTTTACTTGGTTGCCCCCAACAATGAAATTATGCACTCGACCTCGACTGCTAGAGGAATCGGGCAACCGTGTCACGGGCATGGGGCCTGTACACTCTGTCTACTCAACGGGCCCACCCTGAGGCATCTCTAACACTATTCTTCTGTACATTACTTGTAACCATCCTATTTGTAATTATATTTCTTGTATTATCAATCAAAACATATGAATCTAGTGGGCCCAGCCCATTGGGCCATGTCCTAGATAACGACTAGGAAACACAAGCATAAGACAAATGTATTATATAAATACCCCTTTCTTTGAGGGGGGACGTTCACATTCACTACAAAGCTAATATACTACTCTACTCATGTGACCAAAAGGCACTCGGCCCTTGTTCGATACTCTCCTACCTTGTCTTTTAGGTCCCGAGTTCTAAAACCCATCAAATTGTTTTAGTGATATTTTGTAATTCAACTTTTAGATCAACCTAAAAATGTTTAAACGAGTCTTATAAGACTGATGCTTACATAATCCCAATATCTATATTTAAAATGTAGATTTTCTTATATTTTTCATAGGCTTGTATGTAGATATTTTATTTTTTTGAAAAAAGTCCATTTTTTTATACTACAAATGCACTAAGGTCCATATAATAAGCATAGACCTTAGGCCAAAAAAGAATTTTCCATAACACCCGGCCCCACCCTGGCTGTAAGCGTCCGCTCATAGGATTGTAGACTAGCCCCACAAACCAACACAAGTCTTTTCCGCTGTAACGCCCCAAAACATACTCTAGAATTATTAGTGAACAAATATTCAATTGATCAAATTTGTTTTGATTAAAATAAATTATTATTGGGCTTTTGGCCAAAATAAAATGTGTTTTGATATCCAAAATCACAATTAGGATAAATCTCATATAGATGAATCCAATATGTTGACTATTTGTGCGGTCTTGATTGGGAATCAGAGTACAGACCCAAATAAAAAATAAATAAAGAAATTGTTTATGATGTGAACCTTGAAATGATTTATTGAAATAATTAATGAGAACAAATGATATGAAGTAAATGTGAGAGCCTTTTTAAATAAAGGTTAATTAAAGCAATTTTAATTTTGTCAATGTCAAACACCCAAAAATATGATGTCGGAAAAAGTATTACAAATAATTAAGAAAATTATATTGTTGGATAGACTTTAATTGTCTGATCACAACGGTGCAAACGGAACTCAATTCGGAGAAAGTTGGACAACAGAGGAACAAAATTAGTCTCAATTAGGAAACGATTTTATACATCGTTTCCTGATTGGGGCTAAACCAATTTCGACTTTGTCAATGTTAAAGCACTAGCAGCATGATATGCTTCACGGGTGAAAGGCCAAGGCTAAAACTTGATAAACTAATTTTTTTTATTATATAAAAAAACATTTTCCATTAACTTTGTTTATTTTAAAATTTTAATGATAATATAATACTTTATGTTGTTATTAATCATTTTCAAGTTTCATTTTTAATTTAAAAATGGTTAAATAAAATGTAAAATTATTTAATCATTGGATAATGATTGAAGAGAACTTGAAATGGGCATGAAGCACTTCATACTTTTTTGTTAAAAAATTATTATACTAACATGGCGTTCAAATCTAACTATATACCAAGCCAGGATCATTTTATGAATAATGTTCCCATTGAAGAATGGGCTGGGTTGTTGTTTTTTGGGCCCGAGTAATGGGTAGTGTTCGGCTATGGATCTGCGTGGATATTGAGAAAAAGCAAAATCTTGGTGTGTGGCTCCATGCTTACTTTATTTTTATGGATATTCGAAGAGATCAAATCCTTGGTCCGTGGTTTCATACATACTTTATGTCACATATAATTAAATAAATAGATTCAAAAAATCTAAACATTTAATGTGATGTGTTGGTTACCCAATTATATATACTACTTATACTCCCAAACATTTCATAACAATCTCACGCCTGAAAATTTCTAATTCTTACGAAATATATGTCTCAAAAAATTCAAACAGTATGTCAAATGGCCTTGGCGAGATTGAAAATAGTCGCACCACTTGGATGCTTAAGTTACGAGCCATTCGTGTCTACTTTAATTCAGCACGGGGATTCACGTTCATCTCAACAAACCTGAAAAAAAGCATTTGGAAACTCAATCGTGGAAGATGGTATTTTTGGAATTAGAAATGTATCTCTTCATGATAACTACCAATGAAACAAGGAATATAGACCAATTGCCAGGTTTGTGCAATGGAACATGATTGATCGTTACTCGACTCGGCAATCATCTTATTCAAGGTACGGTGCTGATAGGAAAAATTATTGGTCAAGAAGTTGTTATCCCACGATTGTTGCTTACACTGTCAGATACGAGAACTACTTTTAAGTTTCAGAGGAAACATTTCTCAATTATGATTTCATAATTAATAAAAGTCAAGATCAATCTTTGCCGCATGCTGGGTTTTTACTCAAGAAGTCATGATTCAGTCATGACCAACTTTATGTTGCAATTTCACGTATCACAAATCGCAAAAAGTTAAACATCTTGATTTGCAATGAAAACTTTGCATCGTCGAACTTAACTACAAATAGTAGTTTATAAAGAAATTTTCCAAAACTTGTAATGATAGGGATACGATTATACGAATGTAGAAGTTTTCTATAAAAATGAATAGGATTATACGAATGCAGACGATAATTAAATTTTCGTTTATCCATTTAGAGTTGAGGAGAGATGTAGGAAACAAAGCTCATTTTGGTAAGTTGGAGTTTCATTCTCGTAAACGTCGTAGTCACAAGTCGCAAGGATGTCAGATTTGTATCGCCGGTCGGCCGTTTTATAGTTGCGCGATGACTTTTAACAACACGTGGCTCCCAGTCTGAAATCGAACGTTGCCATGCAAACTCACACTTTGACCAGATTCCTTTGATAATCCAATCTAGAACAAACAAAAAAGACTACCTCCCTTTTTTTCATCGCTTCATTTTCAACTCTGTTGCTGCTTTGGAATGTGTGTGAACGTGAAAAATCACATATAGCGGTGAGGTTAAAACTTAAATCTTACTAGAGTAAAAAAACATCCTCCCTCTCTGCACTAAATCAAGAAGTGAAATATGTACTAAATATGACTAAAACATAAGTCATTTTTTAATATAGGATTTATATATTTTTACTCCTTAAATAATACTTAATAATACCTACTATAATGTCTAGTGATAGTGAACAATTGCTTGAATAATGATTAATGAATAATGATCAATGATCCTATATTGGGAAATAAAAACATATGATCATATATTAAGAAAATCATTCTATATGTTTTAAATCTATTTAGGTAAATTTCCCATAAAAAATGTCAAAGTTCTAGAAAATAAGGGTAACACAAATATCGTATTTCATTAGAAATCAAAGAAAACATATTATAAAAATAAAAATTATCGATATGTACAAGACAAATTAAATGAATTATAATATATTTTGGGAGAGATGGAGTATATAAGAAAAATAATACTGGGGTATTTGTACTTCAGTCTTCAGGCCAAACATCATGCTCATATCTATCCATGTAATTAAGTGATCCAAACGGGCCACATGATGATTCGGCTTGAATTTTTTTATTTTGAAAACAACTATTTTTTTTATAATATACTTGGGTATTAATATATTTGTATCTAAAAATTTATTTCAATTTAAAATAAATAAAATATGATTGTTATACCATAGAAAATTGTACAATTATAATTATTTCAACCAATATAAAATATATAATTGTATTGTTCCAATTCCAAACAAGACAAATACTTGTAATTTATATTGTGTATATTTACATGCATGGAGTATATTTATGTATAGAATGTGGATGGGCCTGCTGGCCCATGCAGGCCAAACCTAAAGCCCAAGTCTGTATTTTGCGGACTTGCCCAACTCGGCCCGCATGAGTTCATATAGTTGTCAATATCTTCCAATTTTTAATGGCGGGGTGGTTGGGTCAGATAGGCCGCCCGAGTTTGTGCAAGTCTATATGTGATAACTATCACGTACCGTCATTCAATACAATTTTTTTTCTTTTATTGTTAAATTTCAACCTATGAAGGATATTGATAGTTGATACCCTTACTTTTTTCAATCACTTTTTAACTGATTTTCATTTATTTTTCATTGTGTTATGTAGAAACATCCTCTTATTAAACGACATCACATAGAGTTCAATTAGGGACAAAATTTAAAAGTCTTAACTACTTTAAAATTTACTTTATTATGTGAAATGAAATTGTTAGTTTAGTTATAGGATTATTAGGATGGAAGTAGAAAAAAAATTAAATTAAAGAAGATTGTAAAATTGAAACCAAAAATGAACAATTAAACCGGAAAAGGGAGTATTTGCTCAATTGTGTTTTGGGTCATAGAGCAAGAAGATTATAATAAGATGAAAAAGTTTGTGAAATCTACATTCTAAATATGCTAAAATTGCATACATTTTTTACATTTGAATTTTCTTATCCAAAACTTTACAAAGATTTTCTATAAATTATGAAAAAGTATAATCCGTATTTAGTTATAATATGAATTTAAAACAACAAATTCATTTTTAGTTATGATTTTAATATATCGAATTTTTATAATATTTAATTATTTATATATGCTTATAATTAATAATGGTATGACCGTAAAATACTAAATACTCCGTTTAGAGTTGTTGGTGCCCTAGTGGGATGAGGGAGTACATTTCTTTTGCATAATGTACTAACGACTAGGTTCTGT